GGTGAATATCTTCGCAAAAAACGGCCGCAGAGCCGCGATTTTGGCAGCATCGTGTTCGCCTCGCTCAGGCGCGTCGAATGATATACTTTTTGTTCGGGTCAGGTCAACTTGGGGTGTTGACCTCAGGTCAAGGTCAGGTCAGCACCCCCAGGCCACGAAGTTGGTCGAAAGAGGTCATGTCGCATATCATTCGATTCGGCAGGTCTTCCTGAGTCCATTGGTGGCTTTCTCGACTCGCTAGCTCAATTTGATCGGGAGTTATTGACGAAAAACTAATATGACCTTGATGACGTCATAAATGACGTCACGGAAGGTCAACATTGCAAAAGTGACGCATCTAACCTTGCAAGGAGTGCATTAAATCACGATTCTGTGTGCTTGAGATAGTTGGAGATCGTTCCCGGCGCCAGAATAGCAGTTTTCATTTTTCCCCATTGACTTATAATGGTGAGGTCACGAAAATGACCTGACCTCATATGACCTTTAGGAAAAATCCGAGATATACAAGTTGTGAGACTCATAATGGATACTAGATCCTGCAAGTTTCATTTCCCTGTGACATCTCCTCTGGCAGTGAGGGCGTTGCGAAGTTGCGACATCTGAAGACCGTGCAGAGGTTCACTTATGACGTCATAGGTCAGTGACCTGACCTGACCCAAAAATGCGGTTGGTGTCAAAAGATGCGGCTTGGATCAAAGGTCAGGTATGCCAAGTTTCAGCTCTCTCTATCGCCAGCGTGTTCGGAGCTATCGCGAAAAAACCCTATGGGGGGGCGGCACCCGCCCCCCCCCCCCCTCGGCCGGCGAGGGCTAAAGGACATGATGTGGAGTTTGCTAATGTAATAAATAATAATTGAATGAGGACTTTACTCCACAAGAAATCGTTCGGGTCGGAGCTTCCGAATTGTATTCAATGATTCGAATTGTATTCAAATGATGCCAATTTGAACAGGAATTCAGGTGCTATGCTACAGGATCGCTGGCTACCCATTATCCGCAGTGGCTGCCGCTAAAAGCTTGTACGATTTTGACTTGTCTTTTTTATATATTTCACGCTCCCCCCCCCATTGGTTGTTGCATATGGCTACTTTTCTCGTGAACTTTATATCCTCCTTTTATTAACCCTCGCATGTGTGCGGCGTTTGCCAGCTTCTAATGTGTAGGGGGGGGGGGTCGGTTGGACCCCCCCTTGCCGTTTGGCCCCTGATCGAGCTAGAGCTTCGCGGAAAAAACGAGCGTGTTGCCCGTCACGAGAGGAAGCCGATGATACCCAATTTTAAGGTCCTAGGTCATTGGTTGACCTTCCAGGTCAGGTCAATGACCCAAAGTCGGGAAAATCGGAACCTGTTAGAAAGTCGTAAAGTGTGGCTGCTAAGGGGTTTTTCGGGGTGCTGATCACGAATATCGTGTTAGTTTTGATCACAGATGATGTCTTGAAGCATTTAGACCAGGTCGGGTCAGGTCAGGTCAGGTCAACCAGTAGGCGTCGTGACGGGTATTCGTAGTACGTGTCAACCGCCTCTGACAGCTTCGTAACATGTTACGAAGTCACCAAAACTACTTCGTAAGTGTTCAAATGGTTGCTAAATTCGAATTCAGCTCCAAAAACTAGCCTAGAAACATGTAAAACTCGAAAAAGTGACCCGAGGTCACCCGAGGTCACCAAAGGTCAATGACCTGACCTGACCTTCAGGTGACCTTGACACACACGGGAGTAACATCAAATCACATGTTTGAACGTTTGAAACCACGAAAAGCTTGCAAACACGCGGCTAGTGCGAGCCGACATACGCGAAATCGCGATTCCGGCCAAACATGGTCTCGGAAAAGAGGTCACAGGTCAAAGGTCATTTGGGTCAGGGTCATGAAATTTTCAGGGTAGGTGTAAAATTGATCAATGCGAGGGTACTGAAAGTTTCGTCGCGATCGGCCGCTTTTTACGCGAGTTATTCGCGAAAAACCATGGGGGGGGGTCCATCCGACCCCCCCCCCCTACACATGCGAGGGTTAATGTTATTTGTTGTGAATGTTCTAGCCTATTGATGGAGTGTTTTTGATCATTGCTATCATTTTTACTCTTTACCTATTGAATGATTTTCTTCGTCGTTTATAGTGTATTTTATATACCTGGTACCTTTGTTAGCCTATTACCTATTGATGTTGCATACATGTTAATATCACTTGCTATATATAGGTAGGTCTTTATTACTATTTATCACTTTATATAACCTTTGTTAATTAACAGATTTAGGTATAATTAGAATGTATATCGCCATAGACTACTACATACTACGATATGTAGTAGGCTATGATATCGCTTATGAGATATTTTCTTCTTTTTCATATATGTTAAATGTTCTATCATAGAATGTCACGTGCTATTTATCTATTTTACTATCTGTATTCTGTGACATGTCATTGTCTGCCAAAGACGAATCGCCCTAAATTTTGCGACCGATACCCCCGAACCCGATTACGATACGCTGACGAAGCTTTGTAATACAATTCGAAAGCTCCGACCCGAACGATTTCTTGTGGAGTAAAGTCCTCATTCAATTAGTATATATCAGGATAGTATAAATCAAATTATGTGGCCGAAGTATGTTGTATGGCGTAGGGATGTTACGCGTAATTTGATGGGCTTACCCGCTCTGCAAATATTCACAACTTTACAGGCCGCTGACCCACCCCCCCCCCCCCTCCCCTCCTCCCTCCTTGTCCCGGCGAGCGGTACGCCGGGAGAACTTACACGTGCATGGGGCCAGCCCGTTTTCCTCCCTCTTTAACCCTATTAGTGGCAGGCTCCTGGCTACCCCCTATTAGTGGCAGGGGGGGGGGGGGCTGTTTACGACCCCCCCCCTTGATATCTCGAGATCTAACGGGCCGATTTTCAAAATTCAAACGGCATTCGATTTCGCTCAACGTGATCTACATTTCTAAAAAATAAAAATTAAAAAATGTCAATAGGGGGGGGGGGTAGAGGGGGGTAAAAACGGGCAAATTGCAGATACATTTTAGACTGTTTATCACGGCCAGGTTTCTGAACCAATCTTAACGCAACTTTTGCCGATCGATAGAGAATGAACCAGGAATTCACATGGATCCTAAAAATATGCATTTTCAAAAATCATAGGCGGATACAGATCATTGAGATTGGGGGTGCACAAAAAGTATAGTAAATAAGGTTTTTGTTGGTACTGTTTCTAAAAAGGGTGGTAATGGTCTTGTTATGTTACAATTTTCTTATGAGAGAACGACTACAATTGTATTGGTCATGCATAGGCGGTGTCAGGGCACCTATGTTGGGAGGTAAAACATAACCCCCCTTTTTGGACGCCTGGATCCGCCTATTATAGCAAAAACGTGTCAAAAGAGGATGCACAATAACTGTATATGTTATCACATGATACCTTTCATTCACTGTTCGTAAAACTGGTGCAGCATCGTGATCTTCGCCCAAATGACTCGCTTCACGAATAGGACCCCCCAATTCCCAGTGCTCTGGAGCCGCCCCTGGTAAAGTTATGAACTTGAAATTTTCAGGGAATGTGCCCAATTTAGTTTTAGGAAAAGTCAGAAAATTTCAGCATCGTAGCTTCAGCGGTTTCGGAGATATTCCCGAAAAACCTGAGGGGTGGATAAAAACAACCCCCCCCTGCCACTAATAGGGTTAACCCACGAGCCGCTGGGGGGGGGCATAAAGTTGCCCCCCCTTTACGTTTTGTGAAATATCTCCGAAACCTGATGAGCTACGAACGTGAAACTTGGCATAGCTTCAAATGAACACCTAGGCAATGTTTGAGGAAAGTTTGGTGGTTGTAGCACCTTAGATGACGTCACAGTGACGTCATAAAGTTTTGTCGTTTTCCGATATGGACCGTTTCTGATGACGCTGAGCATGAAACTCGACTGTAAATGAACTAGACAGCGCCTGCTGTCATCCTAAAACATCTTACTACACTTCCATCTAGTTTCTGACCAATAATCGGCCCATTGTTTTGTTTTTGTTTTGTTGGGTTAGGCCCTTTCGGTCTGACAAGACCATTGCAGAGCCGGAAGGATGATAGGAATTAGGGGGAGACATTGGTCTGGGCAGGCACCCTAGTGAGTCGCCGGGGTTGAGCCCGTCCAGAGGACAGGCCACCCAGCCCCAAGGCACTCACTGCACCCGGCTACGGGGTGCGCTCCCTCGGGAGCAGCCCGCATGAGATAAAGTTGCCTGTCCAGTCCGGAGGGGGGTTGTGGCGTGGAGGAGAAGGATTTCAGTATCCTGAGGATAGAAGCACGGATAGGTGTCATCGGCCCTTTATATTCGGTCCCATATATGTGATGTATCGTGAGGAATTTGAGAGTCGCAAATCTATAATTTCACTTATGACGTCACTGTGACGTCATTTCAAATGGGATCGACACCAAATTTGGACACAACCTCGGCTAGGTATTCAGGAAGATGTGTGCAAAGTTTCGTTTCTCTATCTCTTCGCGTTGCGACGATATCGTCGCAGAAGTAAAAGGGGGGCAACTTTATGCCCCCCCCCCCAGGCCGGCGGGTGGCGCGGAGGCCCAGCGGCCGCCGGGTTAAACCTTACCTCGTTTGCCTTCCGACCGAGCCACCCTCTGTCCCTTCACATTCCGATCCTAATTAGGGTCACCGCACCTGCCTGACGGACTGTCAACCACCCAGCGGGCGGTCGGTCCTGACGGGTCGGTGCTTACACGCAGAATATCGATATCATTGTACGAGAGAAATATTGATTCAAAATGTTTTTGATTCTTGTATATGTGCTGTAAATAAATGTTTCGATCTTAAAAAGCAACTACCCTCCGTAAATCACCCGGTCCTGTCAAGTCGGTGGGGTGTCATGGTCCTGACGAGTGAGCGCTTACAAGTAGGGGTGTGTGTGTGTGTGTGGCCGGCCAGGTGTCAGATCTGGGTGCGTGTGCGTGTCAGCCGTCTGCCGTACTCTGTACTGTGTACTGTGTGTGTGTGTGGCCGGCCAGGTGTCAGATCTGGGTGCGTCTGGTGCGCCGCGCCGCGCTGCTCTTTCTGCTCGGGCTGGTGGTCAACTCCGGCTCGGCGCAGAGCGGCTGGTCGGCCGGCGGCCTGCGTGTGCCGGGCGTACTGCAGCGGTTCGCCGTCTGCTCACTGGTGATCGGCACTCTGCAGCTGCCGGCGCTGAGCGCGGCCCAGCCGCTGACCCAGGTCAGAGCCGCCGGCCGTGGACGGGGGGGGGGAGGAGCTCTGTGCTGTTCTCTGACCCGCTCTCTGCTGTGGGGCGTGTTGTGTTGTCTGTTCTGAGCTGGTGTTGTCGGCCGGCAGGGCTGGCGGCTGGCCTGGCTGCGCGACGTGACCTGCTGCTGGGCTCAGTGGCTGGCCGTGGCGCTGCTGGCGGCCGCGCACACGGCCATCACGCTGCTGCTGCCGGTGCCCGGCTGTCCGCGGTACGTCCCTCACCGGAGAGGCGCGCTCAGTCTCACAGCCGCCAGAGATGGTCGGCGCCGGCTCTCCCATGCTCTCTGTGCCGCCGACCTCCCGGCCCCAGCAGGGCTAGATGGCGTGCGGGAGCGTCCACCGTACTCCCTCTGTGCCCCCGTGCTCAGCGGGGCAGGGTAGGCTGGGGCAGTTTGAACATATTTTTACGTCTTCTCCGTCGTACGAAATTCCAGCTCAGTCCTGGCCGAAGAGAAACTTCAGTAGCGCAAGTGTCTACTTTCACCATGCAAGCCTCATTTTTGGACAAGCCGAGCACACCTTGAAAAGCATGGCCTCACTTCTCCACCAAATCACGGTGTGTTCAAATTGCCCCACCGTGGGGTAATTTGAACATACTGCCTTGGCATGCCATAAAAACGATAATCTCGCCAGCACCGATGTTGTTTGATCCATAAACAGAACAATGCTAAACATACCTTCATTTGAAAAATCGACAGAACAACAAAAATAACGGTTGCAGAGAATCCATATCTGCACGCTGCACACCGCTCAGTTGGCAAAAGTCGCCTCTCTTCAATTAACAGAACGTTTATCACTTCCGGTCGATACAAACCCTCCCAACCTTACTTCATCTGTTATGTATGATTTCAAACTTTTACGACTAGACATTGTAATTCAACGTACGTTTTTCGGCTACTACGCGTTCTTGCAAGCGTGCGCTGTGTTCTGGCCTCTAGTCGTTTATTGTTTTCGTTTCGAATTTTCGACCTTCTCATCGAGGCTGTTGTCAGATTGTTGTATGTTTCTTGACAATGGCCTCGTTGCGAAGGTCGAAAATTCGAAACGGAAACAATAAATGACTAGTAGTCGAAAAAAAACTTACGTTAAATTTCATCTGTTATGTAGTTATAAATGGACAAGTATTGTATCGAGAGTACATGAACCTCCAGGCTCCACGAATACTATTAAAACAGTTACATTTAAGGCGTACCGGTTTCGTCTATTGACTTCTTCAGCGCCGTATGAAACAAGGAACAAGAAAACAGCATTTAGTTTGGTTCATCTCTTGCTTGGGCAGCAGTTGATTCGTGGCGATACTGCGGCGGCGGCAAACAGATAACTACGAACGACAACAGCAGCAGGAGACCAATTGACGACGGACACGACACTGGTGACGGTGACGGGTACCGGTGTCACCCACTATGGTCGAGTCTGCGTGTCCGGTGTCGTGGCTTACCTACAAGCACGAAGGTTCTCTTGCGCGGCTTTTTGGAAAACTCTGCAGTGCGGTCTAGGAGTGAACTCTGCAGTTTTCAAAAACTCGTCATTTCTTTCCATGCAACGACATAATATGAGGACGCCTTTAGGGCCCAAAGGGGCGCCCCAAATTTAAAGGTACAGGAAAATGGGCTTGACCTAAATGCCCGCGTATGCTGGATACGCCTGTGCTCTGGAGGCTGAGGGGCGCCATGTTTTTTTCGTAATGGGGCGCCCAATCGCCTGTGATCTTTAATGGGGCGCCTGTAAAGCTTAGCTTTGCAGATCAGCATCCGTGGTGTTGACTTGTGTGCCGAGTGCTCTGCCCCCTGGAAGGGGCGCCATCGTTCAGAGGGGCGCCGAATATTCTTGAGAGGTGCCAGTAATATTGAATGGGGGCGCCGGATGTTCTGGAGGGGCGTCAGTGATATTGAATGGTGCGCCAGATGCTCTGAATGGGACGCCAGCGATAATGAATGGGGCGCCCACTCGCCCGTGAACTTCAATGGGGTGCCTGATACGTGAGACGTGTCGGTGGTGTTGAATGGCGTGCCAAGTGATCAAGAAGTGACTTGATCAAGAAGCCGAGTGACTTCTTGATCACTTGGCACGCCATTCAACACCACCGACACGTCTCACGTATCAGGCACCCCATTGAAGTTCACGGGCGAGTGGGCGCCCCATTCATTATCGCTGGCGTCCCATTCAGAGCATCTGGCGCACCATTCAATATCACTGACGCCCCTCCAGAACATCCGGCGCCCCCATTGAATATTACTGGCACCTCTCAAGAACATTCGGCGCCCCTCTGAACGATGGCGCCCCTTCCAGAGGGCAGAGCACTCGGCACACAAGTCAACACCACGGATGCTGATCTGCAAAGCGTAACACGCGCCCCTTTAAAGATCACAGGCGATTGGGCGCCCCATTAAGAAAAAAAAACATGGCGCCCCTCAGCCTCCAGAGCACAGGCGTATCCAGCATACGTGGGCATTCAGGTCAAGCCTATTGTCCTGTTACTTTAAATTTGGGGCGCCCCCTTTGGCCCTAAAGGCGTCCTCATATTATGCCGTTGCATGGAAAGAAATGACGAGTTTTTTTTTTAATTGCAGAGTTCACTCCTAGACCGCACTGCAGAGTTTTCCAAAAAGCCGCGCAAGAGAACCTTCGTGCTTGTAGGTAAGCCACGACACCGGACACGCAGACTCGACCATAGTGGGTGACACCGGTACCCGTCACCGTCACCAGTGCCGTGCCCGTCGTCAATTGGTCTCCTGCTGCTGTTGTCGTTCGTAGTTATCTGTTTGCCGCCGCCGCAGTATGGAGTCGAAAGTAATATACATATGCACATGCATGTTAAAGCTAGGTACTAATATATTAGTCTCAATCAGCATTTAGGCATCCTGAAAAAAAAAAACAGATAAAGTGATCGTGAACAATGCATGGAAATCAAACGATGCATTACAAATTCAGGGGGGTAAGGAGGGGGAGGGGTGTGAGTGGGGGGGGGGGGGGCATGGCAAACACTAGTTTGGTTCATCTCTTGCTTGGGCAAAAGTTGATTCGTGGCGATATTGTGCCAATGAACGCCGCTGCCAGGACAATGCAGCTAACACCGGCATTGCAGTCTCCATTATGCCCTATGGGGCAAACTTCGAGGCCTTTGAGGCAGACGCAAACGTTGAGCTAGGAAGCTGAAATTTTGCATACTTCTTATTGGGCCAACAAGCAATGGGAAAACACCAGGGGAGCTGGTCTTCCAAAAACTTTATAAAATTTGACGGGGCCTAAGCTACACCAATTGATCGATTGCCTTGATTTTTTCAGCGATTGATTAAAGCAACATTATCTATAAAATTTATATCTCGGAATTTTGATATCGGTGACCTAAGGTCAGGTCAATTTTGCGGCCTCTCCATTATAAGTCAATGGGAGAAAAATAAAAGCGTCTGTTTTGCCCGAACGCTATTCTAGACACTCTCAAACATCGAAATGTTGGTAAAATTGACACACTGAACCGGAATATGGCAACTGTGACCTCTCGTTATGTCCCCGAGGTCATCTCAGGTCACGAACAGAATCTAACAGTTTTTCGCTAATAACTTCTGATAGAGGCGTGCTAGAGCGCTGAAAACGCTTTAGATGTGTTCGGCTCGACGTTGCGGATCGACTGATATGCAACATGACCTTTTCCGGTCAGGTCATGACCTTGACCTGAGGTCAAATTTTCAAGTTGACCTTTCAAGGTCAAATTTTAGTTCAATCGACGCGTCTCGACGAGGGGAACACGATGCTGGCAAAAGTAATGTCATGGCTCTTTGAAGTCAAAAGTTATTGCCGAAAAAGAAAACGTTTTTCGTAAAAACGGCTATTTTTGGAGTTTTTGCCCTCTGCAGGCTAAACCGTTGACCTGAGGTCAAATCTGAGAACATTACTCAGAAAGGTCTGTAAAAGGGCTATCGAATGCACTTTTCCGCGGCGCTGTAGCTCTATCGGTTCCCGAGATAGCCGTCGGCAGTTTCCAAAATGTTGAAATAGTCAACATTTTACCTTTGGTGACCTCTGTTGACCTGACCTTTGACCTGACCCAAAAAATGACCGAAGTGTTTTCGTCCTTATTTTGGACGTTCTTTCGATTGCCGCTTACGGCGTGTCGCTACGTGGCCCAGGAGCCGAGACCGTTCAGACACCCCCCCCCCCCCCGGCCCGGCGCGGAATCTCAGAGCACCGGCCCGGCGCGGGCTTAAGCTATTTTGCCATATTTAAAAACAGGTTTCAAAAGCAAATTTCTTAGATTGAAGGCACTTATCAGTTCATTGTACAACAAAAGCCGTTGCGTATTAGGCGCTAGGAAGATTTCGCGCTGCAATGAAGTTGCAACGACGTGTTGTTGGGTGTTTTTACTTGCGAAATTGATTTTTTACAGTGTGCGTCAACATATTTATTCCCTGTACCTTTAAACCCCATTCATATGATAGCTGGGGCATTCCACGATAGATCGTACCAGGCCCGTCACCCTCATCTCTTAAGATTTTAATGAAAATCGGTCCTAGGGGCATAGGCCCCAAAGACGCCTGGCAAAATATCATACTTCTCAGTTCAAAACTTTTTGAGTTATATTGCATTACATTTTTTAACTTCGGTTTGTAACGGTGAGTTTGATGGCCTATAACTCAAGAACGGTTTAAGCAACCAACAAAACGTAAACAACACTAAGCTTGCGATGAATCAAAAATTAATATTACTATTAAAAGATTCCAAAGAAAAAATTTCATTGTTGAGCAAAAACCTTAATCTTTTTTCATCTGCCTCTAATGACTTTTGGGACCAAAATTTTTAACATTTTTATTTTTTCAAAATAAATTTCATGTCATTGCAAATCGACATGCAAAAAATTAGAAAGGTGTTCTTTCTATAAGTTCCTCATTTTCCCGCAAACAAAATGGGTTTCGGAGGGGTTGATACGACCCCAGCACGCCGTTTCGCTTCTAATAGAGCTAGAGCCTCGCGGAAAAAAAACGAGCGTGTGTGCCGTTACAAGTCGCAGCGATTGGTACCCGATTTTAAGGTCTCAAGTTAACCGGTAGCGTCTGAGGTCAGGTCAAGTGACTGAAGTTACGGGTTCGGTTTTTAGTAAATAACTTCGCAAAAAATGGCCGCAGAGCCGCGATTTTGGCATCAATGTGTTTGCCTAGCTCAGGTGCATCGAATGGTTTACTATTTGCTAGGGTGAGGTCAACTTAAGTAGTTGACCTCGGGTCAAGGTCAGGTCAGATCCCCTCAGGTCACGAAGCTGGGCAAAGGGTATCATATGGCATATCATTCGATTTGGAAGGTCTTCCCAAGTCCATTGGTGGCTTTCCCGACTCTCTAGCTCCATTTGATCGGGAGTTATTGACGAAAAACTCGTACGACCCTAATGACGTCACGCAAGGTTAACAATGCAAAAGTGAAGCTGGACTTTGCAAGGAGTGCATGAAATCACGATACCATGTACGTGAGATAGTTTTAGGTCATCCTCGGCCCCCAACTAACAGTTTTTATATTTCCCCATTGATTTATAACAGTGATGTCACGTGACCGACCTGAACTCATGTAACCTTAAAAAATTCCCAGACATAAAAGTTGTGAGAGCTCTGGAGGACACCATGTATGCGTCCTGTAACTTTCATCTCGGACACCTATGGTCATTAGCGTCCAAAACAATGTCAGAACCAAACAGCCTTTTTCACCCTCGCGCTTATAGGAAAGAGGGTTGGATGAACCCTCTTTTCACTTTTTCAGATGTCTCAGACTTCAATTGAAATTTCAGTAACCCGTGATGTCACTAGCCAGCTTTACCACGCCATTTGTAAGCTCCCCTCCCGAAATCACTATTCGAAATCGTTATCGTCACGTAAAATAAATACAATTATAGAAAGAACACCTTCCTAATTTTTTGCATACTTCTTAACAATGAGCCAAATATTTTTTCTTAAAGAAATAAAAATTCAAAAAAATTTGGTCCCAAAGTCCAAAAAATACAAATGAAAGAAAACTCGATATGTCATATATCAAAAATAACGTATTTTTCGAAATTTCAAAAATACATATTAATCTCTGTTTCATTGCAAGTTCAATGTTATATAATATTTGGCATTTGAATAATTTGTCTTAGAGTTACAGCCCGCCAAACTTAGCGCTGCAAAGCAAGATCCAAAAAAATGTTATACACCATAACTCAAAAAATGCTTATCTGATAAGCCTGAAATTGTTACAGGTGGATTCAGAGCCCCTGATTACCCCTGAGACCAATTCTCGTCAAATTCCGAGAGATGAGGGTGTCAAATTGGAAAAAAGTGGTACGATCTATCGTGGAATGCCCCAGCTCTGTTAGTTACGATAATTTCCCTCATTGGTCTTATTGTTGTGCCGCTTATGGATTTTCCATAATTTTGTGTTATTCATATTATGTTAAAATTGCCCCACCTCACAGTGGGATTTTTCGATCTAACGCGCGTTATTAAAAAAAACATTTTTTTGTTTTTTGTTTATTTTTTTGCGTCAGTGGGGCTAAGCAATGTTTGAATTTTTCATATATGGTATTGTGTTATCTGTGTATCTACTCTACAGCCAGGCACGTATGCAGGATTTCGCTCAGGGAGAGGCGACAGCCAAGAAGGGCCCGGAGGTCAGCTCAAGGGAGCCCCACGGCGACTGCCTATCCTGGTGTGAAAAAAAAATCGAGGTCAAAAACAGTAAATATACGATAGAATTCGAGATGTTGTAAATGAAATGCATTGTCTTGCGTTTGTCAACCTTGATAAAATGTTTGCAGTTAACTTCAGTTGAAGATCGTTTTTGCAATTCACTTCCTTTGAAGTTCGTTAACCCACGGCCACGCCGTGCTGGGGGGAGCGTTTTCACGACTCCCCTCAGGTTTTTCGTGAATATTTGTGTACACCTGTTCATACTTTTTTCCGCACATGCTGTGAAAATTTCAGACCTGGGTCGTTTAAGGTCAGGTCACCAGGTCACGTTAAGTGACCTTACCTCAGAAAAAGTTCAAAGGCTTGCTAATCTAAACCCTCTAAAACATCGGTTCATAAGTAAACATGACACACTGAATCAGAAATTTGCACCTGTGATCCCTGTGTGCCCCCGAGGGCATCTCAGGTCATGAAAGGTCACCAGCAGTTTTTTTACTATAACTTTTGATAGAAACGTGCTAGAGGGGTGAAGTCAGTTGTGTTCAGCTCGACGATACGGATCGACTGATATGCAACATGATCCTTTCCGGTCTGGTCATGACCTTGGCCTGAGGGCCTGAGGTCAATTTTCAAAATGGCTCTTCAAGGTCAACGTACCTATAGCTCATTCGACGCGACTCGACATCACCATTAAAATGCAAAAAGTTAAAAGGGATAAAAGTCAAATGGAAGAAAGTCGAAATGTATTAAAGTCAAAACGTCAAGAAGTCAAAAGTCTAAAGTCATCTTTTTGCTTATTTGACTTTCTGCTTTTTGACTTTTTGTCTTTTGGCTTTTAGCTGATTTGACTTTTTGCCATTTGACTTTTATCTTTTTGACTTTTTGTCTTTTGACTTTTTGTCATTTGACTTTTTGTCTTTTGACTTTTTGTCTTTTGACTTTTTGTCATTTGACTTTTTGTCTTTTGACTTTCTGTCTTTTGACTTTCTGTCTTTTGACTTTTTGTCTTTTGACTTTTTGTCATGTAATCGCTACGTGGCCCAGGAGTCGAGTTAGACGCAAATAGGGTGGCCTCCGTTGACCACATGCTTAACTGCTATCACAAGTTATCGCACGGCGACCGCCGTCCCCCCTCCCCCATCCTTCCGTAACCACTCCCCTCGCCCCGCTGCGCTGGCTGCCACCGCGTGTCGAGCTTCGGTCAGTGCTAACAGTGGCTCTCAAATTTTTTCGCTCAACCGCGGCTGGGACAAGTGGCGCCCTCCCCTCCGATTCGCGATACTTTCAAGAGGGTTTATTCGTATGCCTGGGCGTGGTCTGACTACCCCCCCCCCCGCCTGTGCTTAGGGGGTACCTGGACCCGGTCTGACTGTACCCCCCCCCGGTGCTCTGGGGGGTACCTGGGCCCGGTCTGACTGTACCCCTCCCCCTCCCCCCGTGCTCAGCGGGGTACCTGGGCCCGGTCTGACTATACCCCCTTGCTCAGGGCCTACCTGGGCGTGGTCTGACTACCCCCCCCCCCCCCGCTTGTGCTCAGGGGGTACCTGGGCCCGGGCGGTCTGGCAGATGGCGGTCGGTTCGCCAACTGCACGGGCGGCGCGGCCGGCTACATCGACCGCCGGCTCTTTGGCTCGCACATGTACCACAGACCGACGGCGCACCGCGTCTACGACACTCAGCTGGCCTACGACCCCGAGGGTGAGAGTGCACGACGCTGGCGCTGCCCACCGCCCACCGCGCGCTCACTAGTGTGCCTGTGTGCGCCGGCTGGTGCGTGTGACTGCACTGTTGCGGCAGTGTGTTGTGTCGGGCTGTGGACGGCCAGTGACGGGCGGCTGACGGCTCTGTGGACTGACTGTGTGTTGTGTCGGGCTGTGGACGGCCAGTGACGGGCGGCTGACGGCTCTGTGGCCTGACTGTGTGTTGTGTCGGGCTGTGGACGGCCAGTGACGGGCGGCTGACGGCTCTGTGGACTGACTATGTGTTGTGTCGGGCTGTGGACGGCCAGTGACGGGCGGCTGACGGCTCTGTGGACTGACTGTGTGTTGTGTCGGGCTGTGGACGGCCAGTGACGGGCGGCTGACGGCTCTGTGGACTGACTGTGTGTTGTGTCTGGCTGTGGACGGCCAGTGACGGGCGGCTGACGGCTCTGTGGACTGACTGTGTGTTGTGTCGGGCTGTGGACGGCCAGTGACGGGCGGCTGACGGCTCTGTGGACTGACTGTGTGTTGTGTCTGGCTGTGGACGGCCAGTGACGGGCGGCTGACGGCTCTGTGGACTGACTGTGTGTTGTGTCGGGCTGTGGACGGCCAGTGACGGGCTGCTGATGGCTCTGTGGACTGACTGTGTGTTGTGTCTGGCTGTGGACGGCCAGTGACGGGCGGCTGACGGCTCTGTGGACTGACTGTGTGTTGTGTCTGGCTGTGGACGGCCAGTGACGGGCGGCTGACGGCTCTGTGGACTGACTGTGTGTTGTGTCGGGCTGTGGACGGCCAGTGACGGGCGGCTGACGGCTCTGTGGACTGACTGTGTGTTGTGTCGGGCTGTGGACGGCCAGTGACGGGCGGCTGACGGCTCTGTGGACTGACTGTGTGTTGTGTCGGGCTGTGGACGGCCAGTGACGGGCGGCTGACGGCTCTGTGGACTGACTGTGTGTTGTGTCGGGCTGTGGACGGCCAGTGACGGGCGGCTGACGGCTCTGTGGACTGACTATGTGTTGTGTCGGGCTGTGGACGGCCAGTGACGGGCGGCTGACGGCTCTGTGGACTGACTGTGTGTTGTGTCGGGCTGTGGACGGCCAGTGACGGGCGGCTGACGGCTCTGTGGACTGACTGTGTGTTGTGTCGGGCTGTGGACGGCCAGTGACGGGCGGCTGACGGCTCTGTGGACTGACTGTGTGTTGTGTCGGGCTGTGGACGGCCAGTGACGGGCGGCTGACGGCTCTGTGGACTGACTGTGTGTTGTGTCGGGCTGTGGACGGCCAGTGACGGGCGGCTGACGGCTCTGTGGACTGACTGTGTGTTGTGTCTGGCTGTGGACGGCCAGTGACGGGCGGCTGACGGCTCTGTGGACTGACTGTGTGTTGTGTCGGGCTGTGGACGGCCAGTGACGGGCGGCTGACGGCTCTGTGGACTGACTGTATGTTGTGTCGGGCTGTGGACGGCCAGTGACGGGCGGCTGACGGCTCTGTGGACTGACTGTGTGTTGTGTCGGGCTGTGGACGGCCAGTGACGGGCGGCTGACGGCGCCGGCAGGTCTGCTCGGCACGCTCACCTCCTGCGTTGCCGTGTTCCTGGGCTCGGTAGCCGGCCGCCTGATGGCAACGTGCGGCGGCGCCCCCGAGCGGCTGGCGCGACTCGCCGGCTGGGCGCTGCTGCTGGTGAGTCCGAGTCGGCGGCGCCCCCCCCCCCCCGCCCCCCGCCCAGACGGTCCCGGCACCGCGCCTAATCAGACATAGCAGGGATCCCAGTGGATCTGGAAGAAAACTGCAGGTTAGAATCTATGATTCCACCGGATCTGGCATGATCATCTGAATCTATGATCTCATTGGATCTGACGATGAACCAAGAACATGGATCTATTATCTGAGTGGATTCCACCATGCACAGTATTTGAAAGCAGGTTTTCAAGTGTTTCTGTCCATAAGTGCCACAAAATAATACATTTGACGTGCAATAACATAAAATCAATAAATCAGAACGTCTGTGAGTTGCAACAAGTAATTTTCGGGATTTCTGTTGACAAAAAAATAAGTGAGTAATTTAGGGTGGCACTTATTCTGGGGGTAAAAATAATATTTTGGATTTTTTAACGGGACACCCCCGCATTGCATTCCACTTGACATAAAAACAAGATGTGCAAAACATTTTGGAAATATATATATAAAAAATTAGAGGTCGCTCAACGAGGTCAAAGTTTCATTTTTCCTCGTAAAAATCAAGTTTCCAAATTTAAGCTTGCGACTAATCGAAGTTGAAAAACAACGTTTTTGTGCTTCAAGATTCTCAAATGTTGCTGACAGACATACCAAATGCCACGTTTTTACTCTCTTTCAACTGATGTGTCCACAGGTGGATCGCGAAAAGGCCGATTTTTTTCATTATTTTCACTACATGTAAATAGTGTGTCATGCATTACTGTAGCGTAACGTAGATATACGTGGTGTAGCTGCACAATGGGATGTAAGCGGTGTGAGACAGCTTCCACCGCGGAACCAGTCAGCCAGAAAACCGAGCAGCCGGTGACGTCCACTTAAGACAAAGACAAGACCGTCCTCCTCGCGCAGAGGAAGGACGGCACGGTGCAACGGCAGGAGTAAGAGTCTAAACCCAACGAGCTATACCTATATAACGAAGTATATAAATAAATTTTATGAGAACACAGCGATATGTGACCATAGAGAGCCGGTGAGAAGCACATTCCGGCGCCAAGCAGCTGACCAATTAGTGCAACTTGAGTCAGGTTCAAGGACCAGCCGCATCCAAGACCGATACATCAACAGCTCCCCAGCTCCCCACCATAAACTCTTAGCGAACGTCAGGTCCTTGGCTGCGGGCAACCAACAACGAACCAGAAGCAGAAGATAGTTGTTTACGGCGAAGAGCACAAGGCTCAGCCTCAGTCTTTGGCCTCCACCTTGAGCTTCGATTGGAAGGAATTAGTTTTGAGCCTTTAGATCAGCTGACATGTACCAAGTTTGGCGAAGGGCGCCAGCCGCCAGGGCGATTGCACCGGAATCCCGCTTCGGGACACCACCGAGGGCAATGACGGAGAGCTCGAGGAGTTCCTGATAATCATCCCATGGTTGCTCTGGGTCGAGTTTGTGACAAATAGTGCGCGTGGCCGTCGTCCGCCTCCCACAGCACGAGGTCTATGGAATTGGAAACCCACTTGTCCCTAAATGGCTTCAAGAGCTGGACAGCTTGACCGTATGTCGGTTCAATACACTCCTATGCCCTAGCAACGAGCTCTAGAGCGTAGTGGAGTCGTGCGAAGTGTAAGACCATGCGGTCGAGTCGACGCCCAATTCGGGTACAGACGTCATTAGTCACCCTTGAGTTGGCTGTGATGGTATCGAAACTCAGGGCGGCAACTCGATGTCGATATGCATTCTACAACCTCACAGTCTCGCAGAACCTCAACCATTGCCGTCGCCATAGGGTGCCTAATTCCGTGAGAGCTTAGGGCAATAAGTATAATTACATGTCACGCTATCGCCGAACACCAGGATAGGTTCTCGGTCCCAAGTGGCCCACTATTTGCTGCTGGGACAAATGTCCTGTCCTAGTGCAGTGTGCACTATGTATCAAAGAGACGCCAGGATATACCAATAGCAGAATGCTTCATTAATCTTGGTGGCTACCATCGGGCGAGCTTGATGTACTCTCTTCCGAAAGACTCGCGGTTTATCGCCTGCAGCTCAGCTGGATCGTGCTCGAGGTCCCCGCTGCCGCAGCCAGCGCGCCTTCCAGTTGAAAATAAACATCTTTGTGCGATCCAACGCGGGCGAAAGCCCGACATCCACAAACATCTTCGCTGTACGTTTTAGCAGGGAGCGGGGGGAGCTGTTGGTGTATCGGTCTTGGATGCGGCTGGTCCTTGAACCTGACTCAAGTTGCACTAATTTGTCAGCTGCTTGGCGCCGGAATGTGCTTCTCACCGGCTCTCTATGGTCACATATCGCTGTGTTCTCATAAAATTAATTTATATACTTCGTTATATAGGTATAGCTCGTTGGGTTTAGACTCTTACTCCTGCCGTTGCACCGTGCCGTCCTTCCTCTGCGCGAGGAGGACGGTCTTGTCTTTGTCTAAAGTGGACGTCACCGGCTGCTCGGTTTTCTGGCTGACTGGTTCCGCGGTGGAAGCTGTCTCACACCGCTTACATCCCATTGTGCAGCTACACCACGTATATCTACGTTACGCTACAGTAATGCATGACACACTATTTACATGTAGTGAAAATGAAAAAAATCGGCCTTTTCGCGATCCACCTGTGGACACATCAGTTGAAAGAGAGTAAAAACGTGGCATTTGCTATGTCTGTCAGCAACATTTGAGAATCTTGAAGCACAAAAGCGTTGTTTTTCAACTTCGATTAGTCGCAAGCTTAAATTTGGAAACTTGATTTTTACGAGGAAAAATGAAACTTTGACCTCGTTGAGCGACCTCTAATTTTTTATGTATATTTCCAAAATGTTTTGCACATCTTGTTTTATGTCAAATGGAATGCAATGCGAGGGTGTCCCGTTAACCCTCGCCGGACCTATTGGTTTTCTACATACGCGCCGGCCGAGGGGGGGGGCGGGTACGACCCCCCCCCCCTCGCCGTTTCGCCCCTGGTGGAGCTAGCGCGTCGCGGAAAAACGAGCGTGTGCGCCGTTACGAGACGCAGAGATTGGTACCCGATTTTAAGGTCCTAGGTCAACCGGTGACCTCTGAGGTCAGGTCAAGTGCCCCAGGGTACGGTTCAGTTTTTGGTGAATAACTTCGCAAAAAACGGCCACAGAGCGCCGATTTTGGCAGCATCGTGTTCGCCTCGCTCAGGCGCGTCGAATGATATACTTTTTGTTCGGGTCAGGTCAACTTGGGGTGTTGACCTCAGGTCAAGGTCAGGTCAGCACCCCCAGGTCACGAAGTTGGTCGAAAGAGGTCATGTCGCATATATTCGATTCGGCAGGCCTTCCTGAGTCCATTGGTGCCTTTCCCGACTCGCTAGCTCAATTTGATCAAGAGTTATAGACGAAAAACTAATTTGACCTTGATGACGTCATAAATGACGTCACGCAAGGTCAACATTGCAAAAGTGACGC